TGAAAATACCTTTACAGACACATTCAGAATAGTGTTTAATCAAGCACACAGGTACTCCAAATCCCAGTCAAACTGGCACATAAAATTATCTATCTCAGTACTTGTACAATGGATTTTTTTCTCCTCTGCCAGACTCCTCATGATCTCAATAGACACATGTTGGTCTACATTACTGATCAGCTTTCCATTGCTGGAACAAAATACTTGACACCTGCAACTTAACACAAGAGAGGTTTAGTTTTGGCTCATGGTTTCAGAGATTTCAGATCATGGGTAGCTAGCTGCAAAGCAGAAACATGGGGAAGGAAAGCTGCTCCACCTCATGATAGTCAGAGAGCAGGGGAAGAGCCCTGGAGAAGAAGGAGTCAGGAACAGACACAGACCCAAGACCCACACGGATACATCCAGAAGTATGCTTTCCTGACTCCTACAGATATGTCAAGTCAATTAGGGTTAGGGTTAAGGTGGCAATCAACTTTCTAAAGGCTGAAAGGTCACATTCAGGGACAGACTGCATAGCTAGCTTTGTCTCTGAGTTCCAGCCCAGTCCAACCAGGCCAGACTGAAAGAAACATAGAGAATAATTGTTGTTTATAGTGTTTAAGCCACTGAGTAGTGGAGATAAGCTTTTTATGCAGCAAAAGAATACTAAATTACTAATTGAACACAGTTTTGAAAAGTGATGTCACACTTAAAAACTGAGGCCATATTATAATCTATGCTTAATAAACCAGAGACAGGAAATTCTACTCTATAACAATTTCTTAAATATACAAAAGTTATAAAATAATTATACAATGATTCTTGGTTAGTACCATGAAAGGATTTATATAAACAGATGCTAAAAATAACATTTAATTTGAAAGTCATAGTTTAATAGGCATACATATAAAATGAATCCCAAGATCAAGCTACAGAAAAATATCAAGTAAATACTAAATATTATGTAAATATTAAAATACTGGAGAATTCTAAAAAGGAACATAATATTTAATTTCAAGCAGCCTGAATATCAAGTAATGGAATTTTATAATGTAACCTTGATGCCATAAAATTCATCATTTAAATATATACATTTCATTCTATATGTCACAGTTGGACAACCATCCTATCTAATACTAGAACATTTTATTCACCTCCAAAAAAGCAATCCTGTACTTGTTAATAGTTAGTAATCCTTCCTTGTTCCCTTTATTGTTCTAAACTAGTAGACACTAATCTACTTTCTGTCTCTGCAGATTTTCCCATTATGAATCTTTTACAGAAACAGAATCATGTAATATGTGCCTTTTTGTGTCTGGATTATTTTACTCAGCATCCTATTTTTTAAGATTTATCTATTTCTGAGTTGATATACAATTAGATTATTTCACTTTTGGTTATTATGAATAATGTTTCTATAAACATTCCTGTCCAACTTTTTGTATGAACATATCCTCTTAATCTTCTTGGAAAATATATGTGTATATATCTCCAAGAAAAAATACATATATGCTACTAAGTAACTCTGTATTCAACTTTTTTAAGAACTGCCAAATATTTCCTACAGTAGCTAGTACTACTGTACTGTTTCATTCATATCAGTATTAGATCAGTTTCAATTTCTCCTTTTCCTCTATAACGCTTATTTTTCTTACCATCGTTGTTTATTATCATAGCCATCCCAGTGATTGCAAAGTTATATCTCATTTTAAATTTTCTTCATGACTAACGGTATTGAACATCTTTTTATGTGCTCATAAGACATTTATCTAACTTCACTAGGAAAATATCTGTTCCAATCCTTTGCTCATGTTTCTAATGGGATATTTGCCTTTATATTGTTGTGTTGCATAAATTCTTCATATACTGTAGACACAAGGGCTTTACCAAATATATCACCTGTGTATCATCTCAGTCTCTTTTTTCACTCTTGGATAATGTTTTTTGAAGGAAATATTTGAATTTTGATAGTGACAAAAGTATTTTCTTATGTTGTTCATGCTTTTGTATATGTCTAAGAACTTTTGCCTAAACTCCAGATTATGAACATTCACTCCTAGGCTTCCTTCTTAGTGTCCCACTATTTTAGCTCAGTTGATCCATATTGAGTTAATACCTGTGTGTGATATAAGAAAGGGACAGACTGTACTTCTTAAAACATAAAACTCCATGTGTCCCAGGATCTTCAGTGGAACATACATTTCTTGTGCCTCACTAAAGTGTTGAGGCACCCTTATCAAAAGTCAATTGATCATAGATAAGTGAGTGCATCTCTGAAATCTCAGTATAACATCATCAATTGTGCCGTCACTTAAACTTGTACCACATCATTTTAATTACTATAACTTTGAACAGACTGAGTCTTCCTTCTATGAAATAGTGAAAAATAGCAGTATTTTAGACTAAAGAATTCCTTGAATTTTTGGATATTTGCATATATACACCATGTTATCTTTGAAATATCTTATCTAGACATAAAACTTATTTAATGTATACTTTATATACAGAGATACAATATTTTTAGTGCACTTGCATTTTGGCTGCAAACCACCATAATGAAGTTAGGAGTGGAATTTCCACTTGCAATGACATACCAGCACTCAAAGAATTTTTCAGATATTGGAGTATTTCAGCTTTGGGGTGGTTACATTATAGAACTTAATTAATAAGTAGTAAATCTAGAGGGAAGCATGAGATATCCAAATTTATTTATTTATGATATTAGCTATTTGTGGTACACTGCATTCTTAAGCGGACTTTAGAGTTAACTTCTATGTGTCTGAAGAAAAAAAAAGGATTGCCATTTGATGGATATTTCATTAAATCTATGTATCAGTTTGGGAAATACAGCAATTTAAATAATACTCAATCTTACAACCCACGGGCATAGTCTGTGTTTCCATTTATTTAGTTCTTTATTTCTCAACAATATTTTCTGGCTTTCAGTGTGCATGTTGAGTACTTTCTTATGTAAACTTAATCTTAAATATTTGTTAATTCTGATGCAATTATAAATGGAATTTCATTTTAGGATTTCACATTGCTATTGTGTAAAAATACAGTTGATTTTGTGTATTGATCTTACATTGCATATTTATACTGAGATTTTTTAATAGCTCTAATACTGTCTGTGTGTAGAATTTTAGTGCTTTCTACACACAAGATAATGTCATTTGTAAAGAGAGGTACTTTTTCCCATCAGATGTTTCTTTTTTTCTTTCTCTATTTCTCAACTAGAAATGTATACAATATTAAATGAAAGTTTTGAGAGTGAAAAACCTTGTCTTGATGATAGAGGGAAAGCACCAAGTGTTTCATTTTGACTATTATATTAAATGTAAGTTTTTGAAGATGTCCTAAATTAAGGTCCAGAAGTCTCTGTCAATCTCTAGTTTGTAGAATGTTTTATTATAAAATGGCATAACACTGTGTCAACTGTCTTGTTTTTTTTTAATTAGGATAATTATATTGGTGTTATCTTTATTTTGCTAATACGGCATACTATACTGATTGGCCTTCATAGATAAAAATGAGTAGATCAACTGCTGCCTGAGTGGGGACAGCCACACCCAAGCCTTTCTCCCAGAGTCAGTGCCATTAGTGGACTGCCATGGGGGAAGAGATCCAAGCCTCATCAGGAAGCAATCTCAGCAGGGAAACCATAACATTTTCATTGTTTGGTTAGGTTGGGTTTTATTCTTTTTTGTTCTGTTTGATTATGTTAAATTTGATGGCAGGAGAAGCTATTTGAAAGATAACAAGACATAATACAGTAGCCATTTCGGATTGATTAGTGGCTTGTTTTGTAGTCTTTCGTTGGATTCACTGTTTTGGCTTTATTGTTTCTATTGTATTTTGTTCTGTCCAATTTTTACTATGTCTGAAAGTACCTGCAGCTATTTTGAAGACAACAGAAGGTATTATGGTAACTATTGCTGGTTTTGTAAGGTTTTGAAGTCCTGTATCATTTATACTGGCTTATTTTTAATTGGTTTTATTCTTTTTTATTTTCCTTGGTTTTATCCTCTTTAAAATAAAATCTAAAAAATGAAAAAAAAGATTGTACTATTAAAATATAAATCTCACTTGGTCAAGTTTTATACTTCTTTTTATGTATTTGGGAATTGGTTTGGTAGCATGTCCTTAAAGATATTGTCTCTATATTTATAAAAGATATTGGTGTATAGTTTTTCTTGTGATGTTTTTGTCTGATTTTGTTATCATAATATTAATTGTCTCAGAATGAATATTTTCTCTCTTTTTTAGGAAGGGTAGAGAAGTCTATGTCTGATTCATTTTAATCACTATTTAAATATTTGGTAGAATTCACCATATATTATTATTTTGGCTTAATAATGCTTCTGAACTAATTCTATAAAGTTTTAATTCTTGTCATGTATGGTCATCAATGTCTTTACTTAGATAGCTTAATGGTCAGCTAATGGTTAGACAGAAATTTCTTTTTCTTTTTCTTTTTCTTTTTCTCTTTCTTTTAAATTTATTTTTTGGATGAGAGAGTACTGGGAATCAAACTCCAGGCATCATGCTTGCCAGGCAAGCACTCACCCTGAGCTATCTTCCCAGCTCTAGACAGAAATTTTGTAAATACCTAGAATCAGTAAACCCACTGGTCTTCATTGAGGGGCTGTGCATGTGTTCAGCACATCTCCAACTGCCTTTGTTTCTAAATCCTGTTTCTATGGGGCTTCAAGTGAGCCAGAGATAGGAGTTTAAGGCCTTCTCCAATCTTCCCAAAGAATGCACACAGCCCTAAGCCTATATGTTACCGCCTAGATTCCCTAGAAAGGATGTTTTCAAAGGCCCTGTGGATTCTTTATTCCTCAGTTTTCTTCTAATAAACCATTTGGTTTACTGTTTTTCTCAACTGTTAGCCACTGCCTCTGGTGTCACGAGGTTAAACACTCGGCTGCAAATATTTTCAGTAAATGCTTACTCTGGAGAAAGTTCTGGCACAGGGCAAGCTTGAGTTGGGTCAAATAAGGACAGGCCTTTTGAACTGGATCTAGAGGAATGTTTCTTCTTTGGAACTAAAGCTCTGGGACTAGTCTGGGATTTCTGGTAATGAGAATGCAGGTTCCTCTTTTTGCCTCCAAGACTGGCTGACCGCGGCCTGGGACAAGAGACTAGGGTAAGTTAAAACACCACGAAGCTGGTGGTTCTTACCAACATTCAGCAGTTTGTCTTGCATAAATGCTTTCTGGATTGCTACTAACTTTTGGCTAATTTCCAGAGTTCTGGAAAATGTATATTCTAATAATATTGTCAGATTTTATTGTTAACAAGAGGGTACAGTTTTGGATGCCATGTTAACTACATACCATTATTTGTAGTAAACTGACTTCATCAAACTGAGCTAATAGAGTAGAATTAGTTTACCAGTATTCATACTAATTTCATGACAATCAAGTTTTACAAATTAACAAATATATTACAATTAAATACAGTAAAACAAATCATGTATTTCAATATTCCACCTATGATCATGACCATAGGTAGTGACATAAGAATAGCTCATATAAATATGTAGAACAATAAACATTCATGTACATGAAAGAACAATAAATTATAAGATATAGCTAATAAATTATACTTGTAATATTAGTTTACCAAAATGAAAGCAAAGCCTATTGATTAGAAACAGGCTACATAAGAACATGAAATACATTTTACATGTAAATTCTCATCAGGAATATTGATAAAAATGAAACTGAAAGACACACATTTTTGTGACTATATTTTCTGACACTAGCAAAAACTGAATCTTGATACCCAAAGAATTAATTCATAATGAAAAATCACAAGAATCTCTAAATTTGAGGATACACTATCCCACAACAAAAACAAACTCAGAAAATATTAGATGTGAAAACAAAGTTGATTTGATAGTTATTGTATTTTTATTGCTGTATTCTGTCATTTGTCAAGTATTTTTATTAACATATTCCATCTTCTCTGAATGAAATGAATAGTTTGCAAAACATACTTTTCACGTTTGTCCTCATAGCAATCAGTGAGGTAGATAAGATAAATAAAACTACTCTGAGAGAAAAAGAATTCTAAACTAAATGGTAAAGTGTGCCTCATAGCGGTGTTGCCTAAGTGCCCCTAAAAATGCAATGTTCAATATTTAAAGGCCCACTTTAATTGGGGGCACATATAAAAGGATACTTATAGAATGATTATGAATAAGTATTAAGAGCACCAATGATTAAGAATTGATGTAAAGGGCAAGTTAGTAGGGTAGAAAGAGCGAGGATCTTCCTACAAAATCATCGCAAATTTCAAGATTATAGTCAGAGACTATCACTGTCCTCTAAATTGTACCACATGCTTTCTAAAGTTAATTAATGTCTCCCCTAAGAATCTGACTGTCTGTGAAGATAGTGGATTAATCCTTAATCTCTGGCTTCCAATTGCAATCATGATAATTACTGCACAAATTACGTTATTATCTTCTGTTGGTTTCACATGGGTTAACCTCATCTTTTCAGTGAGATAATATGCACTTAAAATTCTTAATTTCTGGGTCATCCTCTCCTTCCTCCTCTTCTTTCATCTCTCCTTTTACTCCTGCTTCTTGCATTTCATTCCAGCTCTGCTGAGCAACACTGCCTCAACTCTGCCTTCACTTATTCAGATGGTTTTGCAACCATAAAGGCTTTGTGATTAAATTAAAAAAAGTTTTCAACTCTACACTAGCAGTGTTCCACCCAAGTATAATTTTGAGACTCTTATCTCATTCCTAATTTTAAGAAACACGTTGTCCGTTCTGTTTCATGTTAGTGGAGGTTTGTCTCGCTGTCACCATTCCTCATAATCCAGTCACTGATGTGCAGATTCCCATTCCAGCAGATTCCTACTGACGTCATTCACACATTTCGATCTCTATCTTACTGGGAATTTCTCTAGCATTTAAAATAGTGGGCTACCTCTGTCCTGTAAACTACTCTGTATTTTGGTGTCCTTTACACCATGCCTGCTTAGTTTTTCTTTTCCTTCTTTGGATCATGCTTTTCAGCCTGGTCCTCAGATAATTCTCATGATCCTTTCCTCAAATGCTGTTTTTTCCCCCAGATCTCTTAATGATTCCCCTATTTTCACTGTACATTCTACATGGCTTGGCTACAGTTGCTATCTCTAAATTTACAAAGGCTGAGGAGTGGTCAGCTGAGCCTCCCATGTCCATACCCAGCTACCTTCCAAGTATCTTCATTTGTGTACTTGAATGCAATACATCTAACTGTGAACTCATTATTATTCTCATGGTTTCTGCTCCTTCTCTGCTGATGCCAGAGCAGTAGCAGATGCATACCCAAAATTGTTCTCTTGCCCTTTATCCTTCTTAATAAAAGCTTCATTTTTGTTCAGACTTCCGTACTCTTCTTTGAGATTCCTGACCATTAAACCTGATATGTTATACTTGATTTAAAGCACTTTAAACCCATATTAGACTTCTTGGCCTTGCCTGTATGTGGATTTGCACAGCTATGTGATGTAATTCTGGCCAATGAAATTATTTCAAGTGTGTAGGGATGCTTCTGTGAAAAGATTTCTCACTCTCCATACAAGACACAGGAAGAATGTGTTCCTTTGCCCTGGAAAGCTGTTGGACTTGGAGTCACCCTTGAAACTGTTGCAGGTGTCTCACATTTTCAGCAGTAGCTTGCTTAAGAACAAACCATGTAGAATCAAAAGAACAGTTGCAAGTCGCAGCTGGAGTCTCATTTTATAGGCAGCTCTTACTGTGAAACATGGCTCATGTTAGTGGCCCTCAAATGTATTAAGCTTCAGACTCACCTAATAGACTTTTTAAAGAGAAATTCTTCAACCCTACCCATAGAGATTTTGAATTACTGCCTGAGTAGTAGGACCCAAGATTTGCAACTCTAACCTAGTCCTAGGCAATTCTGGGGCTGCTCAGCTTGGAAATCTACTTTCAAAACCACTGGCTTAAATAATTGACTTAAGATTTCCAATGGCTTCCAGCAAAAAGCATTTTAATGGATATAGAAAACCATGCAGTCCATCATCAAAACCAGAATCACCTAAATTTTTCTTCTTTCCCCTACACATACAATCTATTATTATTATTATTCTACCTTCTAAATATATCTCATATTTATCTTTTTTCTATAGTTCAAGTTTCTAGCTCAAGCTACCCACAATTTTCCTTTGGATTTCTGCAACTGAATTTCTAACTCAGTGTTTTTCCCATAGCAGCTCTCCATATTGCCACAAAAGAAAGCTCTTAAAATTGTGAATTTGATGATTTCTTATTTGCTGAAAAAAATCAAAGGTCTCCACAAGACTGCTGGAAATGAATGCAAACAACATATACGCCTTCAAAGACACTCCTTGCTCACTCACACACTTCGGATTCATCCTTGTCACTCACCATCTTATACCTGCCAGTTGCTCCCTCCAGTGTGTCTCCTCATTTCCTAAGATCCCTGGCTCTTTCCTCCCCTGAGCCTCCTTATACACTATCTCGTCCTCTCCCACCTTTGCTTGACTAGAATGAAACCTTCTGTTTCGGTATCTTCCCTGACCTCCCAGGTATAGATTTGAGATCCTTCCAACCAGCTCTCAGAGCCCTGCTTATTTCCTCTAACATTTATTTTATTGCACTCTAATGACTGGTGTAATTGCATTTTGGGGAACCAGAGATGATATCCACCATGCGAATTCCTCCCAAATGACCACATTGTCCTTATCATCATCATTTTCTACATCACTGCTTGCTTCATCCTGGTTTCATCTTCCTCCTCATTATTTAGCAAGCAGACACTGAGTTTGGGGGCTTACATGAAGCTTTCTGTTTAATATTCTAACTCCCATATTTTCCACGTACAGAAACTGAGGTTCAGAGAGACCGAGTTATTTTCCAAAACAATCCACTGGTACAACACAAGATGTGAACACAGAGTCCAACCACAGAGATCACTGTCTTGTCTCCCTAGTCACAGTACATGGTTTTCTTCTGGAAAACTACCCCTCTCTGCCTACTTACCTCTCCTAAGATTTTATTTGTCAGATTACATCAACTTTAATGTCCCTTTGGCTACATTGATGGTGTAGTGGCCCGTGGAAAAGCTTGTTTGGAGGTTATCAAAAAATTTCCAAGTTGGGTCCCATCTCTAGCTGAGCCAGGCAACCTGTCACCATCACTGGCTGGAGGATAACTGTCCCAGGATCCTGATTTCTCATAATAGGTAGGAAAATACCTGTGCTAGGAAGAGTCCTTTTTTGTAAGTGTAGATTTCAGTAAGTCTCACACAAATCAAGAAAACACCAGGTTTTTAGAGTGAACGTAGTCCTTAATTTTAACAAATTTATAAAGTTCATAGAAAAACAAAAAAATTATTCTGAAATGTAAAAACAAGAAATATTAATGATGGCAAACTATGAATTCCATCCCTAACCCCCACTTAATCTTTGGCCCTTCCTCTCATGGTGCATGTGTCCCCACCCCATCTCCTTAGCCCATGACAGGTTCTACAAATGCTTGAGCACAAGGACTGTTCTCCATCCCTGAATCCTGAGCACCAAGTTCAGCTCTTAACATACAGAGATGCTTTACCAAAAGTGTAAGGATAGTTATGCATACAATAATGCTACAAAGAGAAAAACATGCATTTCCATCAAAGGGTTTTCTTTTAGTAAGATATTTTAAAAAGACATCTAATGAAACAGTTTAAAAATTAGACTTGAATCTCTCGGACCAGATGCTGCCACTAGCATTTCAGAACACAGATAGAAAGACAAGTTGTCTTCTATTCTGTCACCTCCAATTTTTTGAAGCAAGAGATTCATGTAAACTGTCAGCCTGTCCCACATTCCATCCATGTTTCGTTCTGTGCGTGGCCCCTCTTAGCCTCTAGTAGCTCTCCATTGTGCTTTAATCAGTTCTCCTCACTCTAGGACCTCCAGCATTCGGCCTCTCACTTGAGCCCCAAGGCAGGCAGGCGTCTTAACACTATCCAGTGTTTTTAAGTGACAAGGCTCAAGCCCCTTTGTACAATGTGGCAGAGGGAAGAAGCAAGGTGAAGGACAAATCTTGGGGCCTGCCTGCCTTCACTCATTCCTGTTTTCTCTCCAAGCATTGCTGCCCTGGAGATTTAGAGTATA